AGTAGGAAAGCAGCCTTCAGATTAGATTTTTTACAGAGTTTGGTGATCAAAATGTTTTGTGGAGACAAGTTCCAGAATGTTTTTTCAAAAGTTGGTAATTTAGGTTTTGGTAAACTTTTATTGTTGACCTTTCAAAATATAAGTGTTTATATTTCTATGTTAGTTAAAATCTTGGAACCTCGTAGAAGAGAGTTGAACCATCCATATCTTTAAATTGGTTGTTACTCTAAACCAGTGGTTCTCAAACTTTTTCTGTCATTCCCCACTTTGGACAAGGGGGAATTTTCAAGCCCCGCCTGTCCCCATCGCCCCAACACAATGCTAATGAAATGTGCAACAATCTTAAAATGTTCCAATTTTATTGAAGTAACAAGTAGTATCTAAATACAAACTATCTACATCAAATAACAGCAAGCTCAAAAATAAAGAAAATAAAAATGCAGCTGTGTCAAAATTTGTATCCAGCCCCATGATAGAAAAAATTAAAGTGCCACTCTGCAATCTGTTAATAAAAGAAAAGAAGTGAAATCCATCTGGCAATACAGGTCTATTTATCCCTGCATTAGTGGCTGCAATGAGCCTGTTTTGCATTGCACAGTTTCTCAAAACGGGGTTGCAGGCTTGATACTGCCACTCTCAAGTCATGCTCAATGTTCTGCTGAGATCTGTATTTTGTTTTCAGTGAAGCAACAGTTGAAAAGCCCATCTCACAGAGATATGATGTGGCAAAGGGAAGAAGAATGCACACAGCTCTCTGCCCGATGAGTGGATACTCCCTCTCCACTCCAAACCAGAATTCACTATGAGTCTGAGCATTAAACCTGAGCCTCAGGGTGGAGTCAGACGTCATTTCAATAAACTGGTCCTATTTATTTAAGATAAAATATTTCAAATTCAGTTAATTATGATCAACCTGCGCCGCCAATCCCGGCGCATGTGCGCTTTATTTGCAGTCTGGACGCTGAGGGTAAACATGCTGTGTCTCTGCAGCGCTGAGAGGGACTCCTGCGATAGCGGGGGGAGAACGGGGTTGGGACGGAGGAGGCGCCCCACGGCAGCACCTGCCGCTGGAGGACAAGAAAAGGAACGATACGTGCTTTCACGTAAGAGTCTCCAAAAGTCGCTAATTTGTCGCTAGTCGCTTTTTTGATAAAGAGTCGCTGAAGGGGTCTGAAATATAGCGACAAAGTCGCTGAGTTGGCAACACTGGGGCGCGAAAGTTTATTCCGTTACAAATAATATGCCGACGTCACGTCAATCATTATTTTGGCACTTCAGTTCCAGGTGAAATTTTTCTCATATCTAATGTTCTTTTAATTAGACTGCATGTAGGCTAGTAATGATTACTTTGTGGGTTTGATTGGTCTAAAAAGCGGCAACATACAGCTATAAGGACAGTTTGCTCTCACACGTTCTACATTTATAGTCACACACACACACACACCGGAACTTGGCGCGCCCCACCTGTCACGTCTCAATTCCCCACCAGTGGGTCGCGCCACACACTTTGAGAAACGCGGCTCTAAACTGTCCTCAAGGGATCTCATTTGGGTTTAGCTTGGGACAATAAGGCTATGATTTCTGAACTGTTGATGAAAAGGGGGGTGGTTACGTGGAAACATCTGCTTGAATTGGTTGGTACTGAAATGGATGAAAGATTGGAGATTCACTCTTTAAGAACTGCATTAAGCATTATGTTGGCAACATTAAAGCAAATATTTTCAGAAGACGACAAAAGACTCATAAAGGGATGTTTGATGTACTGCTAACACCTAATAAAGCAGATCCCTTCTTTAAGCACTGTTTTAAGAACAAATGAAAGTTGTGAAGTTAGGAAGCTGAGGCAGAGGCAATTCTTGCAAGAAATAGGGTTAAAATTGAATGTCCTCGGACGGAGAGATAGAGATCTGACTGCGGCAAGCTCAGTACATACATTTATACCTTACAACAGGGGTGACCAACCAGTCGATCGCAGATTACCAGTCGATCGTGGGCGGAGTTTCAGTCGATCGCGAGAAGTTTTAAAATGTAGACCTATTTATGGCTATGACAAAAAAAAAGTTTTAAAAAACACTAATCAAATCATTGTGTATCAATGTGTATTTTCATAATAATAAAATGAAAAATAAAAAGTATGCAGGGAACCATTTTTTATGCATGCTGATTGCTGGGCATGGTTTGCCACGGTTGCTAGGTTGTAACCAGGGACTCTAAAGCACGAAGAGGAGTCTGAAGAGATAATGAGATAATGACATCTATCACAACTGATGGGGCTCCATCTATGGTTGGGCGCATTGCTGGATTCGTGGCTCTGTTCAAGCTGTCTGAAACTTTCCCGGATTTTTTTGAGCTACCGCTGCAGCATCATTCATCAACAACAGCTGTGTGGCAATATTTTAAATATGAAGGATGACATGGACGTGAAGATTGCTTGCTCTGTTTGGGCCAGGAGTTTTCAGAGGCGTTTATTCTGTGCACAGCTCGAGGAGGCAGGTGCAGACCACACTGATCTGCTGCTGCACACCGACGTCAGGTGGCTGAGCCATGGCAGATTCTTTGAAAGACTCTTGGAACTTTTCCCCGAAATTAAAGAGTTTCTAAATCAGTGAACAACCCATTCTGCTGTGTGTTACATCTTCACATCCAGATATTTTGTACTTAGTATTTTCCTATTTTTATCTGTTTTCCTGTTGAATTTTAATCCATCTGCCAGTTTCTCTGCCAATGCCAATGCCCAGTGAAGTGATATAAACATATGACTGTAAATTTACAGTTCTAACATTTTTTTTTGTTTTTTTTTTCATCTCTACTGAACTGTGTGTGGGTGTGTGTGTGTGTATCAATTGGTTCTAGATTTTTTTTTACTGCACAGCCTTTGTCTGGAGATCTTGACTGCTCTTTTCTGTAGTTTTGGTGAGTCTGATGAGTGAGTGAGAGATATGGTGTGAAGTTCTTATGAGATTGTTAAGTTCTGGTTTTGCAACCTATTTTTTGACACAATTGATAATTTCCTTGTTTGTTGACTTACTGTTTATTCTCCACCTGTGCAAATAAAAAACAAATACTGCCCATCCCTTGTGTTTGGCTTGGTAGATCTCAGCATGGCATCAACTTCAAAAGTAGATTTTGGTTTAAAAAAGGTTGGGCACCCCTGTCTTACAAAATCACATACAAACTCCCCCCAGGGGAACTGACCCACCCCCTGCACGAAGAACTTTCTCACACTTGAACATCGAAGCAAAACAACTTCCTGCTATTCAAGGCTGAATGGCAGGAACAGGTAGAGCAACATACTTCTGGGATTATATACAAGAAGAGCAATTAGTTTACATTCTGTCAGCAGGTTTACATGTATGTAAAGGGAGTTAAACAGGTGGAAAGCCTTGGGGATAATTAATGGCAGCAGCTGGAGTTAGTTATGGTGCTAACCTGTTCCTGGGAAATTACTAAAGGAAATGTACCATGAAGTGGGAGTAAATAGTCCAAAATAAAAACAGAACAAAAACCAAATCATAAGCTCAGGGGAATTGTTAAATAATTCATGTTGATGTCAAAATTATTTTGCAACTACAATCAGATTTATCAACATGAAGTTCATTTTTAATCTACAATATCAAGGATAAATTAAATATTTTTATCCAGATTCCAACTGTTTGCTTAGATTTTTCTTTTATTTAACCCTTGAGGAATCTGCAGCAGATGAGCCATGGCTTTAGGCATGAGATAACAAGCTACAGTAATTATCAATCTTCCTACTTACCTTTAGTAATATTCAATAAAATTATCTTGTTTAAGCTTAACTTCAATTTCTGTCAAGATTTACAGAAGGACATGTCAAGATATTCTGGATGGATCCCTCAGACCGGCTCAAAGAAGGATACATTAGCCAGCCGCATTCGGAAGAGTATTATGAGGATTTGTGGATCAGGTTTCAGTGTGACGTAATTGGTCTAAAAATGTGACCTTTATAGGATGCAGCCCCTAAATTGAGACAAGCCCATACAGCCAGTGCAGACTCTGGCCTTTGTCTTTTGCAGCTAAACTGCTGCTGATGAAGTTACGTCCACATGAGCTAAGTAATGTTAAGAGAACAAACAGCTAGGACTAATGATAGAGTTTGCAACATTGCAACACAATTTGGGATGTCCACTTTTGCCGCTCCTTTAATTAAGAAGCTTATCCAGCTTGAAATCTGGCTCAACTAACTGTTTGCAGTTTCCCCAACTCCTGTTCTGCACCATGGCCCTCTTGGACTGAGGCAGCCGTTAATCAATCCCAAGAAGCAATCCAAAATAATTTTCAAAAGATGCAAAATATGTATTTATTATTATTTTGATAAACACCTAAAATAGTCAGATCTTTCCAACTTTCTTAGACCTGTAACTGTTTCTCTGTTCAGGAAAGCTGAAGCATCTTCAAAAATCTAGGAAAGCTTAACTTAGGGGGGTCTTATTTGGAAGAGCAGACGCAAAGAACTTTGCTCCACCAATGTTCAAAAGTAACATCATGGCTTAAGCCATGAACACACCAAACAAATCTGCATCTATGCTGATAAAAAAAGTGAGGCCTTGGCGTTTAGCTCTCATTAAGAGTCCATGGGAAAAACACCCAGACGATTTTTTGCAAAGGGGTTTCGCAGTTCCAAGTGAGATAGACCCCAGGTCTATTTTTGTCGGATGACTCAGCAATTCAGCAGCAATTTTATGGGTCTGACAGGAAGAGAGCTGCAGTTGCTGAGTAACTTTGAGACCTTTGGCGAAAATTAACTTTTAACAATTAACTTGCTGATAACATAACTTACCTTAATTGCAGCATTAGCATCTTTACTGGACAATTACAATTAACCATGATTATTGCTTTTCTTCTACTGACAACCAGTCCAACAACACCATGATAAATTATAAAAAATGGAAAACACTTCCTTCTTCCTGAATTCCACCAACATAATTAAAAAGCCAGTTGAGCCACACTGTACCTCAGGTATAAAAGTCTCATCCTGACAGGTGTTTCATGCAGAGAAGCAGAGTTTCATCTGGAGCTGCACAATAAGAAAAAGAAGAAAATATGAGAGCTGTTGCAACCTTCTTGGTTTTGGTGAATTTCTTCATCGGCTGTTATGGTGCGTTTATTTCATGTTTTGAGATAACATTACATTTTTTGAACTTTGATCAATTGATACATGTTATCTTCACGGTTTTTCTTTAAAGGTTTGAGCTGCAAAGCTGGTCCTCTGCAGTTTTCTGTTGCCCAGCTTGATGCTAGCCAAGGGATGGTTGTGATGACTGACAAAGACTCCAACGTCTTCTTCCTCAGTGGATCAAGTTGGTCCAAACTGGGCTCTGTTCCTCTCAAGCATGTCTCAGTGGGACCTGCAGGGATCTGGGGAGTCAGCAATGATGACAAAGTCTATAAATTTGCTGGTGGTGATTTCTTTCCTGTTTCAGGTGAGTATTATGTTTCGGAACAATGTTCTAAGTTTAAAGCTGTTTAAATATGAGGTGTTTAGTAATGTGCATTTCTATGTATTCAGGTCAGGAGTTGAACCAATTGGATGCTGGTGGAGAAGGTCATGTAGTTGGGGTTACTGATGGTAACAACATCCACTGTCTAAATGCCAGTTATGTCTCATCCATTCAGCCGGAGAGCATCTTGGACTCAAATACCCTGCCAGGGCGACTGATATACACAAGTTGTAGTTCAAATGTTTGCTGGGGAGTGAGCTCAAGTCATAACATCTACTTTGCGGTAAATTGGTATCTTTTTCCCCTTTGCCATGCTGTCATAATATTCTCAAATAAAATTTTCACCTCCTTTTTTTCTTTCAAAGAGTGTCTCATCAAGCACCTGTGTGACAAGCGGATGGACTGAAGTAGAAGGAAAAGCGGTAAAAGTGGAAGTCGGGACTGATGGACGTGTCTTTGTTGTAAATGAATCTGGAAAACTCTACGAAAGGTTAACTTTGGTTGTATTTCTGTTGGACAGTAAAAAAAAAAAAAAAAACATACACGGTTATAAATAACCACCTTTATCTTTACAGAATCGGCATTTCCAACGGAGCTCCAGGAGGTGCAGATTGGAAAATAATTGAAATCCCGACACCCATCGAGCATGTGAGCTATGACCTGGGACGTCTGTGGCTCGTGACTGAGTGTGAATTCATACTAGAGTGCACTCACTAAACAGCTTAAAGTCTTTGAATTAATCTTAAAAAGATTTTTGGGGGATTTGGGGGAATCATAGGTTTAAATCAAAGTGGTTTTGTAAATGATTGTTACTTTAAATGACACCACTATGAGAATAAACAAAAGTAAGAAATTGCCTGATGAAATTAGGCAGTTGGGTCTGGTACTATTTTGTCCTTTTGGTGTTCACACTTAAAGCTTTTACATTTTAAACATCAAAACATTGTTTAAAGGAAATAATAAATTCTTCTATTCATCAACTGTATGTGTTTTGTCCTTGATATCTGAGATTGATTGAAGTGGTATTGTCAGACTGAAGTAAATGATGTGAATGGAGAAAAAAAAAAAAATATATATATATATAACTGCTGTTAATGAACAAGAAGGAGATTCATTATTTATGCTAAAGCAGCATTCATTTTAATTCCTGTGAGAATTGAACAGTCATCAGGAAAGATATCTGTGGAAAAGTGCTGTATGTATCTGTTCTTATCCAGGAGTTTATTACCATTGTTGAACTGACTGTCCAATGGTTCAAACAGTTAATTGAGTAAGTATTTATACCTTAACATAAAGAATATTAAATTATATTATAACCTTATTCCCAATTGCAATAAATTATCTCTTCAATTCTACATCATGGAGTGGCAAAAAAATAAATAAATAAAATAAATAAAAAATCTGAGAACAAGTATGTAGGCAGGTTCACAACTACAAATGTCAAAATTGAGTTTAGTTACATACTGTTTCCAGTCCAGATCCTTGAGATGTTCCTACAGCTTGAAAGCTGTGAACGAAAGCAGGTAACTAAAATCTCAAAGGAGGGGATTTAGGAGCAGTTTGTGAATGTCCAGAGTCCGGGGAACTGATTTCTATTGAGCTATTTATACAAGTACCTTAGAGTATGGGTCATTTAATTCAATTCAATTTATTTCTATAGCGCCAATTCACAACACATGTCATCTTAAGGCACTTTACAATTCAACCAGATAATACAGTAATTGATTCAAAGTTTTCTATCTAAGGAAAACCAGTTGATTACATCGACTCATTGACTCGAAAACAATCCCTGACACCAAGCAAGTTGCAGCGACAGTGGAGAGGAAAAACTCCCTTTTAACCTCTGCTGAGGCCTGACTTAATGGTATCACGTAAATTAGCATGTCAACCCCCATCCAGTGTTCCCACAGCACTTAGATCAAAGCTGAGATGATTTTAATGCAGGTCGCTTGCCAAGTAGTTAGACCTGGGTACACATGAGTCAGTGACCTGTTCCCACTGCCTATAAAAGTCAATTGTTCTCTGGTTTAATTGGGTTTTTCAGCCAGTGGGAAAGCCCAATGTTAAATATGTGTGTACTTTTTTTTCTTATCTTCTTTCTGTTTAAATAATTTATTCCTGATACTGTGGGCTACCATTCCTCAGGAGTTTAATTACAATATGGTATTAACACCGAGACTCCGGCATCCACTATTACACTTTTTTTGTTTTTTCCACTAAACTTTATTGAACACTTCTAACTACTGAACGAACTGATCAGAAAAAAGAGATATATGGCGGTCATATTTAGTCAGTAATATTAAAGACCATGCTAAAAAGATGGGGTTTCTGAAAAAAGGAAAATAATTGATCATAAATACCTGCTTGGATGCAGTTTACCAAAAAAAGATAGAAGGTAACAATTTACATTTACTTTGAATGAGTACATTTATTAAAAATTTCAAATAAGAAAGTTAATTATTTCAGAAACTTTAGAATATTATAAGAAATAAAGTAAAGTTTACTTTACCTATCTGGATGCCTTTTAATTGACAATGCACATAATTATAATAACATGACTGATAAATATTGAATAAAAACATAGCAGCAATATAAATATAAATAAATATGCATTAATTAATTACATTTAAGACTGTTCACAATATTTTTTTATTGTATTGTCTATTTTTTGTTTGTGTTTTGAATTTATGGTTATCAGTCTCACAGTTCTATCTCATAGCTACTCTCCATGGAAACATGTGTGTTTATTCAATGTGATGGGAATTTTATTATCATAATGTAAAAGCAAACATTGGAAAGACATAATTAAGTGTGAGGTAAAACAAACGTTATTCAATCAAAGAAATGAAACAAACTTCCTTCTTCCTGAATTTCAACATAACTTTGTGTTTGTTTTGTTAAACACATTTACAAAGCCATCTGACTGACATCTTACCTTTCATTACAATCAAAAACACTGCCCTACTCAAGAAAGGTTTCTCATGTTATTGCAAAGAAGCAACCACAATCATTTTTATGTAGAATCAGAACACAGAGAGGTCTTTCTCTACATGTGTTTTTTCACAATCTTTGTGGTAACTTAGGGTGATACCATAGACACCAATTCACCTAAAATGAATAATTTTATGGCAGAATTGTTGGGGTTTTGGGATTAGGATTGCTTTTCCTTTTTTCTGCAAATTTTAGTTGGAACATAGCACCTTCCAGTATCTGATAAGGCACACTAGCAACTGGTTTGACTCATCAGAGAGGAGCATTTAAGACACATGCTGCCAGTCCTTCAGTGCCTGATTGTTAAACAAACATGGTAAACTTCAAACCGCAAAACCAGCCTTGTTTTTAGCCCCCAAAGCATCTCGTTGCGCCTTTTGTCTCAGGTTTTATAAGCCCAGCTCCCGGTGAATTTCTGGCTGGCCCCCTGAAGGACAAACCCAACCTGGAACTTTGTCCATCCTCTGGATCAAGCCTTTTGATGGGCAGCCTACTCCATCCTCCGCTTTAAGCTCTTGACAAACCTCCTCTACCCTGTGTTTGTTCTGCTAATCTCTCATCTTAACTCTCAGTGTTCACCCTCTTCAGGTGGATAAAACCCAGTTCAACAATAAGTCCAGTCATAATCTATTCCAGGCAAAGTAAACTCAAACTTATCATCTGTATCTTACCACAGAACCTAAGCTCCTTCCTGGGTCTCCGGCCTGACAGCCAACGGAACTATGAATCGCATTATTAACTTCTCTTGTAAATAAACACCTTAAATCCTGATCTTTCTTGTGAGCTCTCTGCATGTGGGTTAAAAGATATAAAAAAAAACATGACCAGAATAACTATAGAGATAGCTGCGGATAACCTGAGTCACTTCAATTATAAACTTTATAATTTAAGTAGAAAAGGTGTCTGCCTCACAGACTAAAACTGGTAGTTGGTTCCACGGGAGAGGGGTTTAATAAGTAAAAGATCTGCCTCCCATTCTATGTTTATACATTTCAAGGAAATACAAGAAAATTTTGCAGATTTAAAGAAAAATGCCCTGTTAGTAAAACAAGAAGAAATCTAATCTCTAGTGTTAGATGGAGCTTTGTTATTCAGTGATTTATACAGGAGAATGAACATTTATTTTTAGTTTTGGATTTAACCGGAAGGCAATAAATGCGAGCAGAAAAAGAAAAATTTGATCTCTGTTTTGAATGTTCATCAGAACTCCGGCTCCAGCATTTTGCGGTAGCTGAAGGTTTCTAACTACAGCTTGTGGTGTTCCTGAAAGTGAAGAATTACAATACTCCAGGCACCCTAAAGTAACAAATGCATACACAGTTTCTCAGCATCACCCTGGATAAGATATTTCTAATTTAGCAAAATTCTGTCAATGAAAGAAGGACATTTTTTAAATCAGCAAAATATAAATAAGACCAATTAAATGTCATTTAGGTGAAGTATGGCATTGATCAGCTTCTTTTTTCAAACACTCTGTCCAAAGAAATTAACTGCTGTTTGTTATTAACTTCCTTTCCTCAACACTGCAGGCTTTTCTCCATCCCTGTGTTCTTGGTTCTTCGTAGTCTCTCTGCATGAGCACAGATTACCACATGGCTTACATCTGGTTTATTGCAGTCCCTTTTTTGTACATTTTGTCGCACATCAAAGCACACTGTCTTTGGCTGTTTTATGGGGGTGTAGGATAAAGCTTTTGCCAGTCAAGTACATTCTAATTTTTGCAACCATTTTCTTTTCTTTTTGGTTTGATTACAAGATCTTATATTCCATTGGTTTGTGACTATTTAGTTTTTCGTAACTTTTCTACTCTTTTTCTCCTCAAAGTACTCTCGATTGATGATTTTAAAAAATCTATTTCCATCAGTCTATCACTTTATGAAACATTCAGTAAGCAAACTCTCTTGTATAAATACATGTTGGGCAATCAGATATGATCTCAAAATTTGTGGGAACATGTTAGTGTCTTCAAAGTGAAGACAGATCTATCATCACATGGCATATGAAAGATCAGTAAGACTGTCAAAACACTACATTCTTAAGATGTAATTAAAAACAACCAGTTAAACAACATCAAGCTAAAGTGCCTGACTTCCACTGAATAACCACAAAGGGTGTTGAGTGACAGTACCTACCATCGCAGAGATTAAGTGCAGTGAAAAATGCAATATGCAAAAATTTGAAAAAATGGAACAAACTTCCTTCTTCCTGAATTTCAAAATAACTTTGTGTTTGTTTTGTTAAACACATTTACAAAGCCTCAGTGACATCTTACCTTTCATGTCTATCAAAAACACTGCCCTACTCAAGAAAGGTTTCTCATCTTCTTGCAAGGCAGCCACCACAATAATGTTTTATGTAGGATCAGAACACAGAGAGGTCTTTCTTTACATGTGTTTTTTTTTTATCTTTAGAAACCCACTCAACTAAAATAAGTAATTTTACATATTACTGTATATCTGAATTTGAGGGACTAAGCCCTAAGAAAGAGGTGCAACTCTATATTATATATAATGAAAATTGGGCTGCTGCTGCCATCCAGGATGGTGTCAAAGCTAAACAGAGCACCAGGTCAGATGAAGCTATTGCACAGAAAAAAATGCAGAGATAACCCAAAGTTAGAAGTTTAAATGTAAAGCAATTTAGAATTAGAAAACAGAGATACTGTAGATTGAAGTGGAATAATGCTAAGCTGTCCCTATGTCCTCAAGCACTCTAAGCCTATAGCAGAATTGTTTGGGATATAAT